CTAAAGTCTAACTGAAATCTGAAAGGCTTTTCACAGTCAAATCTTTCCTTGTGCACAAATCAGACTGAACGACTAACATTTTAAGACTTTAAAAATTCAGCCTACACCTAAGAGCTTTCGGCCACTGCCTATGAGCAAAACTACAAAGTCAGTGCATGTTTAAAAGAGTTTACTTATCTTGTGAGAAGCACATCAGCATTGGCTTTTCTATCAGTGATACCATGGTGGAGAGGGTATATAGCCAAGGACTGGCTATGCAGATCTGAAGCTATGAAAGCCCACACACACCCCACCCCACCCCACCCCCCCGCCCTCCCAAATCCCACTGCAATTCAAAATGCTAAGGTAATCAAAGGTTTTTTTCAGGCCTGACTTCTCCTTTGAACAGGCCAGGTTATGAGGTCAAACACAGGTTGATGCTCACATTTATATCACACACACAAGAATTAAGATGTGCATTCTTACAAGTTGTATCTGCAAGTTAAACTCGTTTCTAAGAGGATTACGTTTCCATGCTCAAACTACCTTTCCTACATTAGCACTTATGCTTGCCCTCAATGTTTGTAAGAGAGCCACTGGCACTTCTCAGAAGACTTTTCTTTATCCTAGTCTCTCTCTGTAGAAAGTGAACAAAGCTCATCACAAGCACAGCAAGGCCCAACTAAAAACCATGCCTTTCATTGACCCAGCCAACACAAAGTGATTTCTTGGCGTGAACATAATTTAATTTGTCTTTACAAAAAGTCATCTACTCTGTCTGCTTTAGCATTTACTGCAGGAGATTCAGACACTGTACACATAAACAATGCGGGGAAAAGAGAAAGAAAAGCTGAAATGCAAAGCCTGCAGGGCAACTGGATGAGGTTATGGCCCATCAGCCCTGCTTGATCTGCTCCCAGAGGGTAAGAAGGTGGCAAGGTGACACTCCCCAAGGACTGCAGGCAACTTTGGCAGTGCTCTTACTCTGCACTACTTTTAGGGCCCTGAACCCAGCATTACAAAATGCACTGCACATTTTATACTCCAACATATCCAGCCTAGCCTTGATTCTCAGGGCTGAACAGTAATAACATGAGAGGATCAATCAAAATCCCAGAAAAAATGTTAGAAGATTTTTATTTTATGCCTGCTTCCGGATGCCTACGCTCACTTACTGGGTAATTCTACAAATAACACTAGCAGTCACTAACAACTCACCAGAACTTCTTAAAACAATGGATTTACCAACACACCTAGCCAGGCTAGTAAATCAACTGCCATACCCCATCACACCACCAAGCCAAAAGATAGGGTGTCCTGCCCCTGGCAATAGCCATTTCCTGGCCTTTTAAAAGGTGGAGGAGAGGGGATTCTGAATGACCCCAGAGTGCAGTGCCTTTCCAATTCCCACACCACAGGCTTTTATTGTTTAACATTAGATTTCATACTCCTTATCTTTGTGTAACTATGTGCATTTATAGACGAGGACTTTATCCAGACTTTTTCAGTTTTTACCAGGCTCCTAGTTTTAAGGAAAAGGCTTTGTGCCGAGGTCGATAATGCCTCCCTCTTCCTTCATAAAAGAATAACCTGAACTGCCACAAAGCAGATGCTCACCCTCACCATCCAGTACCCACATACCAGGCTCTATCACAGGCTGAGGCCCGCCTTCAGAGAAGCAAATCCTAGAGACCTCCCTCGTGCAGTTATGCACAAGTAGGACCTGCTATTGACACCATCAGGATGCACCTGTAGCTCCCCACCATGCCCCACCCATTCCCAGCCTCTCCCCCCACATCTACAAGAATACGATGGTGCAAATCCCAGACTCCCTCGAGCAGGTCTGCATCCTCCACCCCAAATCTTTCCCTCTTCCTCCAACCTGTTCCCCCCACAGTCCTGTGCGCAGCTCACCCCTCGCACAGCCACTCCCAACCTTTGCGTCCCACTCCCAACCTTTGCGTCCCACTCCCATCTTGCCTCTGGCCTCTCCTCCGCCGCACGCCCCTCCACCAGCTCCCCCCCCCCCCAAAGCGC